CAATCTCTCTTGGATTATGTTGAGAGTCCTATCAATCTCTCTTAGATTATGTTGAGAGTCCTATCAATCTCTCTTGGATTATGTTGAGAGTCCTATCAATCTCTCTTGGATTATGTTGAGAGTCCTATCAATCTCTCTTAGATTATGTTGAGAGTCCTATCAATCTCTCTTGGATTATGTTGAGAGTCCTATCAATATCTCTTGGATTATGTTGAGAGTCCTATCAATCTCTCTTGGATTACGTTGAGAGTCCTATCAACCTCTCTTGGATTATGTTGAGAGTCCTATCAATCTCTCTTGGATTAAGGTTGAGCTTAAATCGTTTTTAATTTGTTTTAATTTTGAAAAGCTTCGTTTTGTTGAAGCAACAGTGACAAGACTAGTCAGTAGTATACGGAGAGCAGCATAAGTATTTGAGTAAATATTTTCCAGTTGATTTGTACAAATTTATCGTAGACAATCCGCAACAGTTACTGAGCAACATTGAATAACATTGTTGAAATGCTGCAGCTCTTCGCAAAAGGTAAAATCTTCAATATCGCTTTATCTTTCTCTTGGTCTAGGAAGCTATACTGATGTTTTATTCAACGCTTCTTTGTGATTATATTTCGTAAAATGTCAGAACTTTATGATGTCAAGTAGATTGAAATTTAAATGGCTTTTTAATTGATAACTTTTGTAAATATGTAAGTATTTTTAAAAATAACACGATATTTTTAAATGTTTCGTAACTTCGCCTTACATTATCAATAGTTACATTATTCGTTTTACAATAAAAAAAAACTCCGGAATAAATATAAAAAATCAGAAATATTAATCAATAAAAATCAGAAAAGTTTACAGAGAAATATTAACGGACAAAAAATATACAGAATAAACCAATAAAATAATTACAAATGTGAAAGCGGTATCTAAAATCTCAAATGAATTACAATTAGACAAGTTTTTACAATTAAGGGATGTAATTAAGTGTTTATATATATTTATTGTATATATATTGTACAGTTTAAGTGTAATTATAATATGTTTATGCGGGTTTAAATAATTATTTTTTAGGTTTTTAAATTAATGTAAGTTGTTAATAGAATTTGTATAAGGCAGGTACTCATTGAATTAAGAAAAACTTCTGAATTTCTTATATAATAATGTCTGACCGTTTTCTCTATATTTTTAACTCAACCACTTCTAACTTTTACTCTTATTTACTTCGTTCTTCCTAAAGCTAAAAGAATAACTCTTAGTTATTCGAAGTAGGTTATGATGCTATTTAGTAAGCTTAACTTGTCTTCACAGGCCTTGTTTTGTGGCCTCTATATAGCAATTAGGCATTCCGTAGATAAACTACAATACCAAAAAACTACAATATAAACTACAATACCAAAAACTTCTTAATTTAAGTGTTGTGTTTATGCGAGATAGTTACAAGCTAACCAGGAATGGAATCAAGTATAAAATTATTTGAAACTTATGATGGGACTTCAGATGCTGGGATCCAAAGAACGAAATTGATTACTGAAATGCAGAACAAAATGCCGAAGCTAATTTTTCCAATTCTTCTAAAAATAAACTTTGGCTTTTGATGCTTTAATGAAGTTGAAGATAATCAAGATACAAATGAAGTCGAACGAGTGCTGCTGACAGCGCATATGAGCTTTTCACAAAATAAAAATCATATGACGGAGAGGGAACTGTTGTATTTTTGGCTGATTTGAAACGATTGCCTTACCTAGCTAAGTTGTTAGAAGAGTCAGTGCGTTTGAACCCAATTGATATCATGCTATTCAAAGTAAGGACTGCTTTAAATAGCATGAGAAATGATACCGTTAATGCTGGCGCTGTACATCTTAGCATAGTGCTACAAAAATTCTTTTTGTATGTTACAACTGCAGAGGGTTATACCAAATTGTGAAGCATTGTTTATACGCAAAGAACTTATATTTGAAGAAAATCTTTTGGTGTTTCAAATGTGGTGTCAATGGGCATGTCTACGGAATGCCTAAAGATGCAAACAAGTGGAGAGGCTAGGAATCTGTTCAACCTCAATTCTGAACAACAGTGGAGTTAACGCATTATCTATTATTTGTTTGAAAGTTAATGGTATGGTGGTAACAGCTATGGTGGACACGTTTAAATACGATTTTAATGAAAATTTTTTTATTGGATAATAATTAAATACTTGACGAAATTGAAGGAACAGACAATAAAAACGACCAACTAGGAGTATCTAGTAGTGTTGGGCTTTCTGGTTTGTAAAAAGTGTAGTAACTGTACTCTACTTTTGTTTTTTCAGTTTGCATATATTGAAGATTCTTGCTGTTTTGTATATGTGTGTATATATTATATATGTATATATATTATGCATATATTGTATATGTATATATTTTAAATGTATATTATATATTATGTATATATTGTATATGTCAGGGTGGCCACTGGTCATGAAAATCATAGAAATGTCATGGAATTTTATTTGGTCATAGAAAAAGTCATGAAGTTTCTAAATTTTTATTGAATGTCGTGGAAAATTCGTGGAACTTTTTAAAGTTATCTTAATTTTTTTCTACATGCAATATTTTTAGGATGCAAAGAAAAGTATAAGTATGTCTAGTCTAAGTCCTTTTTGAAAAAGATATTTTTGCAGTGTAAGTTATCAGAGAAGTAAAAGAAAGAGAGTTTTTTTTTAGACATGATTTCAGAACTTTCTACCAGTTAGTTTTTGGTTTGCATGTTTTATAATGACCAAGTTGCGAATGCTTAGTGCATGGCAAGTACTGAACATTTTACTCGAATGATTTCTCATAAAAGTTTATGAAGAGTCATAGAAAAGTCATGGAAAAGTCATGGAATTTCATTTTCAAATTTGAGTGATCACCCTGTATGTGTGTCAAGGGTTACCCAAAACCATGTCTACACCAGTCACCTGAATCACAGCAGCCGTGGCGCAGTGGTAGCGCACTTGTCTCAGAAACCCTACCCCTGGGCAGAAAGGTTCAAACCCCACCCCTGGGCAAGTTTTGCGAAATTGATTGGGAAGGAGGCGTGAAATTCCTATTAAATGCTCTTCCGCGGTGCTCTGTGATAAGACCATAAGGATTTCTTGGGGTACCTTAATCAATTTAAAAAAAAAAAAAAAAAAAATTCACCCGGTACCTTACAGGGCCGACGGTGCTGTTTTTGGCGTCAGAAATACCTAACTTCTAGACATCGTGCAAACTCCAAACATTTATATGTTTATACCTATGTCAAGTAAAGATGCTTTTGCAAAAAATTGCGATGATTGGAGCCAGGGAACAAAAAACTTTATAATGTCTGCCCCTTCCTGCCCCAAACGTGAGAGCAACCAGTTGATAAAATACTTTTTGTACTATTTTTAACTAGACTAATATTAATCGATAAATTTTAAGTTTCATAGTATAATCTCTTAGTGTTCAAATTTTATCAATTTAAAATTTGTAATCCCCTCAAATTGAGGAGGTTTAAAACTTTATATTGTCATAATTTTTGAACGCTAAAGTATTTTACTATGAAATTTAAAAATTATTGATTAATATTATTCTAGTTAAGAATAGTACAAAAAATATTTTATCAACTGGTTGCTCTCACGTTTGGGGCTGGAGGGGACACAAACTTTTGAGCCTTTTTGTTTCCAGGCTCCAATCATCGCAATTTTTTGCAAAGCATCCTTATTTGACATAAGTATAAACATATAAATGTTTGGAGCTTGCACAATAACTGAAAGTTAGCTATTTCTTACGCCAAAAATCGGCACCATCGGCCTTGCCTTAACACTGTCTACATGACATTCCCAACAGACAAAAAGAAGCATGTTTTTTAAATATTTTTTAAAACCTCGTCTCAGGGTTGAGACTGCGAGCATGTGTATTTTCTTTGAAATATTCTAAAAAAATTTACTGTTTGAACGGAAAATTTTGCATTGTCACCGTGAACCAAGTTTAGACTGTGGCAAGTACATAAAGAGCATGTAGATTTTTTTTTTAATTAGTGCTTGCTCTCCCTAAAGAGGATTGGAAAAGGACAAGGTTTTAACAGTAAATTTGTACATCGTATGATGTGCAATCTACCTTAATGTTAGTTTTTATTATTCATTGAGTATACAAATATTTACAAAAAGACTCAAAACTAGATACTGCTTAATTAAAATCAGATCAGATATTGGAATTGTCCCATTTTCAGAATTATTGGATTCGTAGGATAAGACTAAAAACCAACATTCGGTTATCCATCCATGGTTAACCATCCTAAAAATGCTGCATGCTGGATTTAACTTGATATTGCTGGGTTTAACTTGATATTGTTTATGATATTAGGTATATGATTTTTAAGAAATACTATACTTTTAATACCGACCCAGCAAAAAAATTCTATAGAATTTCTATAAACTTTTGAAACATATGGCCTATGGAAATTCTATAGAATTCTATAGAATTTCTATACAATTTCTGTTCATTTCTATAGAAATTACTGCAGAATTTATTTATTTTTTATTTATTTTTTTTATAGAAAAAAAGTTGTATAGCAATTTCTATAGAAATTAATTTTTAATTAATTTCTACAGAAATTCTATAAAATTTCTATAGGCCATATGTTTCAAAAATTTATAAAAATTTTATAGAACTTTTTTTTCTGAGAAGGCAAATTAAAAAACAATTAAAATTAAACTTCTTTGTTAGTTACATTTGTACAAAAAATTTTAAAGTTTCAATAGAAACGTATTTAATACTTCCAAGGTATCAAAAGCATTATTACCACAGCAAGACAAAATAAGCCGATACAATCATAAAATTGTTATTAACTAAATTGTTATTAACCAATTATTCATTATTGACAAGCAATGCTATTTTTACATTTATAAGTAACAGTCGCAAAGAATACGTATGCACTTATTAAACTATCAGAGCAGCAAGTGATGATTTATTTAATAAAATATTTTAAATAAGAACTCATCATTTTATCTAAACCAATCAAATAAAGGCTGCTTT